TTTAACGTATGCCATCTCGGTAATGTACTAACTTTAACTCAAGCTGGCGACAGTTTCGTAAAACGTGACAAACGTAAAATGTCAAAACAAATTTGGATCATGATTTCTTTGGCGTGGACATATCGAATGCGTGTGAAAAACGTCAAGGTGTGCGCAGTGATTAATTTTAAAAATAAGGAATAGATGATTTCCAAATGATCTAATCGGATGATGGAACTGACAGTCTATCAACAATGTGTTTTTTATGATTTATGAAATAGGCTTGATTTTTTAATAAAATATAATCCGTTTATTATCTGAACATGTGGGTCATAGAGATTACAAAGGTGCACGTGACCTTTGACCAGGGGACACAATTCTCTACACCCATTGTCTATGCAATACGTATCCCACATTCAGCACCATGGCGGACACCGGGGACGGTATCCTACATCGTATATTCGTATATGGAACATTGAAGAAGGGGCAACCGAATCATAATCTGATTACAAACCCGTATAACGGCACAGCCATCTATATTGGCAAAGCTCGGAGCGTAGATCGCTGGCCATTGGTAGTGGCTTCTGCCCTTAACATCCCGGTAATATTGGACAAGATTGGGCATGGCCAGGTAAACAACAATGTAGTCACCGCTGTGAATACCTCGTGAAAAACGCCGAGATATTGCATGGATAATGTTTTATATTGAACTGTTTTTATTTTTATTTTATTCTCAGAACCAAATTGTTTGCAATTGCTAACTACATACATTTGTACCCTATAATACGAAAACATTATATAATATTTTTAGCATTATTTTTGTTAAGGGTAACTCATCCATATTTTCTCATGAAATGACAAGCAAATTGACAAATCTAAGAACAGTTTACATAGTCACAGTCACAATTTTTCATTAAAAACCTGTTAACATATGTAATGCCAGTTTCTAGAAGCATCAACAAGTACATCGATAAGACTTTATATGTTATTGGCCCATACAATGACACCGAGCAACATTTTAGTATACACGATTGCCCGTGGAAACAGTTGTGATAAATCAGTCCTCTAAAACGTCAAAGACACTCTACTGTATTGTATCATTTTCATCATCTCAGGAGAGACGTGATATTCTTTAAAGGGTAGCGAATCTCCATGGGCAGTGTTTTTCACGCAGCATATATCGCTGACACTCTCTTTTTTAATTCTCATCGACTGTAGGAGATACAAGGCGAACTTTATGACGTAGATGATAACAAGTTGACGTCATGCGATTACCTGGAGGACCATCCAAGATGGTACCTGCGACGAAAAATAGATGTGGAGTTGTCAACCAAGCCTGTGAGACGAGAGCACGTGTGGGCTTATGTTATGCATAATTTTAAAGAGGAGTTCCTAGATCTACCGATGTTAAAGAGTTATGATGCAGAGGATTTTAAATTCATTCTTCCTTCTGAACGTTCTGGTTTCAAAGATGTAATTTCTCTCTTCAAACGATAATAATCTTTTTTTGGTTGGTTGGATGGTGGGTGATTAATTGACTGAGTAATCAGGCAATTGGTAATTTGTTATGATTGCTTAATGTATTTGTCCATTGATACGATTAATTGGATTGTAAACACAAAGTTCGAAACGAGTACTTATAATTCGGTCTCTGGCCGTCTTTCCGTCCAGAGTCATATTTCAGAACCCTGTGGACCCAATCTGTTCATACTTTACCTGGGACATATGCACATGCAGTGGTTTACTGATTCAATCCAATATGTCTGACTGGCAGCCATTTATTTTTTGAAAATGTGGTATCTAATGCATGCTTTGTCAGTTTTGTTCAAATTCAGTACACACATTATACATCTTAAGATACATGTCTATGTCGATTCGTTTGAGGATTGGATCAAAGATGGCCGGCTGGCAGCCACTTTGTTTTTTGAAAATGTGGTATTTTATGCATGCTTTGTTAGTTTTTGTTAACATTTGGTACATGCATTGTACATTGTAGATTACATGTCCACGAATTTTACAATAGGATTAAAGATAGCAGACTGGTGGCCGTCTTGCTTTTTGACCATACAACTACATGACCAAGGCTTTTAGAACATTTTCATTCATGTTTGGCACATACATCATAAATATAGAAATATATGTATATATCAGTTTGTTCCATAATAAGCCCAAAGATGACCGACCAGAATCCATCTTTTTTTTGAAAAATTGGGTTTCTTCGACAGGATTTGTCGATTTTTGTTCAAATTTGATACAAACATTGTTTATGTTGAAATACATGTCCTGGATGATTTGTTTCATGTTCGAATTCAAAATGGCAGTCATCTAGACTTGTTTTTTCAAAATGTATTGCTGACATTTTGTTTCTTCTCAAAATATACATGTTATGATACATGACCATGACAATTAGTTTCACAATCGTATCAAAGATGGTTGACTGCCTGTAATCTTGCTTTTTGACCAGATTACTATATCTCTGTACATGAGCCCAGACAAAGAAAATTCATTTTGGATACAAAAATGCATAAATAGCTTTATCCTGTTTAATTTCTGACCATATATTTCGATTTTGGAAGAGTAATTTAATACATCAAATTTCTGTTGATACTAGACCAGCCATTTATTCACCCTAAATTAATAACTATCCCTTTGGTTCACAACTTTATTTTTGAAATGAATAGCATTTCCGCTAATTCCAACGGGGACTATGGCATTGACAATGACGTGTTAAATAGGTAGGCTTGTGGCTGCATGCCAGCACAGCCACTATGCCAACAAAAGTTTCTACTAGCTTGGAGTAAATATATTCCTGTGAAAAAAATTCTACAATCATATTATAAAATCTACACTAAAAGGATTATAAACAAAGAAAGCCAAATATACTGTGAAGGGAAGGGTGGGTGGGAAAGAAACGTCTGCCAAACATTTCAGGAGAACCATAGGTAACTGGTTGTACCTTTATAGTAGAAAGGTGCTAGCTACAACACTGCTGGATAAAATATTATTCATAATCTTGGCTTAAGGTAATTACATTTTAAAGCACACATTTGAATAATCAGGTTATTAAGTAATGTGGTGTAAAGTTGCATTTGCATATTAATAACAATCTGCTGAAATACATGTAAACAAACAGTGGCTATTGGTACTGTAAACACATATTATATCATAATATTACACTACAATAAATTTGTGTGTTTTAGTCCAGCAGTACTCGTACATGAATATTTTACTCCCCAGTGCTAATCGCCAAAGAAATTTCTGTTCCAGTAACTTGTTTTTTTTCCCTCCCAGATCTGGTGTATAGTATCGGCTGGAAACTTTCATTTCTACTGTCTAATGATTCATTATTAGAATCATAAGACAGTGGGTCTTCATCATAGCTCTGACTATAACTTAAGTTTTTAACATGTCATTCAATGTAAATACAACTGCCGAATGAATAATAAGAATAGGTGTTTGTTGAGGAACACAGTCAACCACTTTGCATAAAATCTCGGCTACATTTACTGTGTTGTCATGAGGCTTGCAATGCACAAAAAAATGCGATCCTCCCCCTTATCCC